TATTGCCATAAATATGCCTATACAAATTGACAATTGTCGACTACCCGTCGACCGCGGCACTCAACGTGTTAAAATTAGTTTTGATTCTTTTTACTGGGCATTTTTCCTAAACAAAACACAGCTTACGGGGGGGGGCTCCTCCACCACTCTACTGAATCCGCGTCTGATGTATCMATACTCATTTTCATATTCCATGTTAAAAAAAGGTAAATTATTAAAATGTAATGTTATTATGTTAAAATATAATACTATTATTTTTTTAATAATTTTGAAGTATATCCTATTTTAAAAATAATTTAGATTGTAATTGCTGATTTGTAATTTTGTTTGCATTTCATAGACAATTCTAAAAGAAAAGTAGATACAGAAATGAAATAATTTCATAATTAATGTTTATTTTATATGTATATGTAAGTTGGTACCTCACTTATTTTTACGTTTAATTATACATTTAGTAATAGCTAAAATAAATAATTACATTTAATATTTATTACATTCATATAGTTGGTTAACTCGAAGTTGGAGAGACTAGCCAACAAGTCCGAGGTATTAACGATTTTGAGTTGAAAAAGTTCATATTAACCAAGTTTTACTGTGTTATAAATATTATAAATAAGTAAATATACAATTAATATTTATTTTATTTGAGAGTGAATGATGATAATCATAATTTTATCATAATGATAAAACTTTGTAATCTGACTAAAAACTAATACATTCTTATTACGCAAATATAGATTATTATTTAGAGGTATAACATACCTTTATAAATATATTTAATATAGGGATAAATATCCTTCATTGCGTGCAGACACACAACTGCAATATTTGTGGCGCCAAGCACACACGGAACTTCGTCTCTTGTAGTCTCGTGATACCCTGCGCCATACAAATTGTTATTTTAAGTTATTTTCATTGTATTTCATAATTTTATATATACTATATAATATATTATAGTTACTGAAAAAGTATAAAATACGTTATTCTTTTACAATGTCTCTCTTTGTTTTTTTAGAAATAAGACTATTATTTTGCGTTGCATATTTAAAAATTAAAATTTTTACTTACACAATTTGATTTAATTTATATATTAAACTGTCTACATAAATATTATAAACTTAACTTATTGTATAATAAACCAGAGTATAATGAATATGTATTATGCATATAATAATATTCATTTTATAGTGTTTGGATTACATTTTCAATTTTGTTACTTAGAAATAATAGAATTACTATTAATTTAAAACATATAATAGAATTTTGTGCGCCGTTTAACACTATATCAATAAATAAAACATCCAAATAAAGTATTTTCCCCGTATAATATAATAAAAAAAATACATCGTATTACAGTAAATTTAATACGAGCAGTGTGTAAGAAGAAAATAATTTTAGTATCCCTTATAAAATACCCTAAGTCCCTATAGACTATAGTAAATAATAAATTGTTCTGTATTATAATATTTTAGTCATATTTGTTATAATAGTGTTAGATTGACGATTCCTAAGAAAGGTGTGCCTAAATATTTTTACATACTTAATTATACTGATATATGATAATCTTTTAAAAAATAAGTATTAATGTTATGAATTAATACACAAGCACAATATAATATGATTGAGTTAGACAGTTACTAGTCAGTGTTTATATTCAATATGTTTAATGAATTCGTATTCATTTATATTTAATTGCTTTTGGATAGGATTATAGGAATCTTATTTTCAATAATTGGCTTATCTAATTTGACTATTATAATAATTTCCACACATAAGATTCTTCGTCATAGTAAACGAGTTTATTGAAAAAATATAGTTATTACTTAAGAGTACCTACATCATTTTGCTTCTAAAATTATATACAAATATAAATCACAACTCATATTATATGTTATCAGTAATGTGATCTATTTTTTTTAAAATATAATCAATTATTATTGGTAAAAAAGAAAACTGTTCAATTTTAAATTGCCTACCTCTATTATATTAAATTTTTTATACACTTTTATACATTTATGCAGGTCACATACACCGAGAATTTGATTATAAAAACGTAATATTATTAATTACTGTATTAGTGTATAATATGAAAAATACTAATCAATATAGATAACCATAATATTATCATTATTTATTTATTAATAATACATTTTCAAGGGTCATTTTATATTTTATTTTGTATTTTAAAAATACTCAGTGAAAACATACGCAGCAGCAAGTGGTCACAGTGTTCACGGATCAATAGTAAGCGTCAAAGGGAGTAGTGAGGGGACGGTACATTCCGCCCTTTTATGCGCGAGCTCCTTTCTCGTACACACAATTGCAGCACATAGCAAGCCTTTAGAAAATTATTCAACCAAATAACACCTTCAGTATGGCCAACATGGAAGTTGTAAATGTATTTTATAGTAAAAATATGTATTAATTTGTACCTATATATAGGTATTAGGGAGGTACACATAAGAGATGTACTATATAAAAATGTTTAAGTTGACAATTGCATTGATTGGGTGGGAGGTGTTCTACTCCAATAAAATTTCATCAAATAACCGTATATCAACGGCACTATAGAGCAGTTTATACTTCTAGTTTAAATACTTAATGAACCATTTTATTGATTGTCAAGACTCAAGAGTCTTTGTTATTTGCGGGTCTTCGCGAATTCAGTCGCCAGAATTTGTAGCAGGGTGACGACATCATAATAATACATTTGTGTTCAATCGATATTATGTCAGGACAAAAAAAAACTCGATTATGGTGTATGAGTAATAATAACCTAGCAATTATTAAACTCGGATAAGTGTTTCACAAATTAACAAAATATTAGTATAATAATAATTTACAGTGATTAAACGTAGCCGTACAACGAAAACGAATGCGACGCGTACAATAATTACCGTACGTATGCGACACTGTCATAGCTCCGTGCATTCTCGGCGCCAAGCGGTCACAATCCCTACGGTGGCGGGCGACCGTTTCAMGCCTTCACGGTGGTTGCTACTTGCCCAGCGCTCAGTGCCGTTCGGACCGTGCGTCTTGTATGTGTTCGTGCGTGTCCCATTAGTGTTGTGACATCTAGTTACGTACGTTCGTATCGTCCCGGTAGGCCTATCTTTACATTCCTCATATAATATTTTTTAATATCCATCGCCGTCGGCCAGTCAAAACGCGTAATTCCCGAGAGCTATGCTGGATATGATGAACAAAATGGCCGAACTCAAGTTCGAAGCACCGCTGGCGCAGTTCGAGGAGTCTGACGAGTGGACAAAAATGATGGACGATGACCCGCCGCTGCAGTCGGCCAAACACAACCTCCACAATCACCATCACCAACAGGGAAATAGTCAGCCGACTTCAGGTGGTGGCGTACTCGACGCAGATGAGGAACAACTGGACAACATGCTGTGCGACAACAGCAGGGGTCTTGAACCGGCGAACAAGTCGTCGTGCACGCAATGCGGAGCGAACAACAACAATGTCGGCGTGGAGGTAACTACATCGGACACGGACAATTTTGGCGAGACATTTAGCGGGTCTCTGGAAGACCTGGTGCACACYTTCGACGACAAAATCACCAGATGCTTCTGCGATTACGAGGAGTCTGTAGAGAAATTAGCGCCAGTTCAGATCAGGACTCAGGAAGAAATAATGAACGAATGCCAGTGAGTTGTACTCAGATGCAATTACAATTTATAATAATTAATACTAATTAATGCGATGGCCGATGATGATCGGTTGATTTTATTCCGTTGTATTATTATAATTGATGTTGTTTACTGGAGGGCGAGTCCAGCAGGGTGGATTTTAATATATATAAGTACATAACTATATTTTATACATGCAGAGACTAAAGGGTGAGAATCAAATAATATACCTGCTTGCCTATTGCCTATAGGTTAATTTATTTTAAAATGCTCGAATTGAATTAGTGTTGAACTTCTGCAATGGTCTATAATAACAGCACTTTATGTATACATTACCTAGTATACAACATAAATATAGTCTAATATTGTTCGATTAACGATTTTGCGGTGAGGAAAATGTACCTTGACGTATTATGCAGTTACCTGTATTTATACAGATTATGGGGGCATGTACGATTAAGTTAGGCTATTTTCTGTGAATGCGATGTATAGGTAAAAATCAGTAGCTCATCACCCTGTGTGGGGTAGGTAGTTGTTGTTATAATTTTGTAGGTCAAACATTACATATATAGATCGAACGTCGTCATCGTCGTCATTTAACCGAATACCTTTTTTTCTCAACCGATAATCCCAGACCGCAGTTGCGCATGCGGCATGCGCCACACGGTCCATATAAGCAAAACCAAATATTCCCAGACTCATGCCTTTCTATCTATTACACAATACATATCAATAATAAATACCTATGATAATTGTATATAATTCGCACCCACAAACTATATTATATTTCAATACTCTTTAGTTTCCGAATTAAAACAAATATTCAACTATATTTAATTTCATCGTGATGTATTCGCTTAGATTCCAATGGCTGTGAAAACTCGATTCGCCTACTCGACCTAACACAATATGTATTATTTACGGGTGGACGGGTTATTATACGACTACAATGAGATCGTTACGCCTCGGCACGCGAATAAGTGAATCACCACTGCAAACCATATATTATGTACGTTTATTAAGACAACGAATGGATAATATAATGACGAGAAGCATTATTATTACGATAACAAATGTTGTCAAATGTGTATTGTGACGAACTGATGACTACGCCGGTAATAAATAATAATATAAAAATATCTCGCGATTATTTTACTGTAGGTAGATAGTAGGTACCAACGTCCGTTTCGAAATTTATAGTTTTACCTTGTAAATGTTAACGAACCAATGAATTAAGCCTATACAAATTACAAACAATATTTATTTGAAATCGTGAGCATAACACTGTTTATACTAACTCGTAATAATAAGTGATGTATTTTGTTACCAATTCATTTGACTATAACATACTGAAAGTGTACCTCAGGAAATCACACGAAGTCACTAAATTAATTATCAGTTTTTTTATCATTAATTGACAATTTTTTTGTCTACAACTTTAATAATATAATATTACACAATACATAAGATATATGTTATATATATTATAGAAACATTTCACCCTTGACATATTTTATATTTATTAGTTATTACTTATTAGTGTTATTACCTTATTAGTTTATTACTTGGCCAAGTATACTATTATATTGATGATATTTAAAATTAGTTAATTCTAAATTGCTGATATTAATAATAATCGGACATTTTAAATTATATATATATTTATGAGCATATGGTATATTAAGCCATTAAGGTACATATTATATATGCGGTATGGAATTGTTTCAACAGAATTCTCAGTATGTTGTTCTACAGTTCCAAGCATTATTCTTAAATTTTAGATGCCTATTAAATCTCATAGTATACATTAMTACCATTTTACAATACCTAATTTATTGGATATCATAATTTTTAATACGTTATCAATTATTTTTATTTTATTATTACAATATATGTTTTTAACATAATATTATGATGTAGGTATGTATTTTTAGAGAATTTCCGGTGAAAATCGTCACGGAAAGAATAACTATTTTACTTTTTTATATAAACAATCAAGTATCGAACGTTAAAATAGTAAAATTATATTAGGTATAAATAAAATATTTATTTATAAATTGTTTTTAAATATTTTGTTTACATCTTACTGTTATTATAATTATTAATTAGGTCAATAAAAAAATAACTGTAATAATGATTTGTTAATTTAGGTTAAATGCCTTTGATTATTAATCTAATTAAATGATTTATTTGTATTATATTTAATCAATAACATAATTTAAACCAATGCCATTATTATATACTTATATCATAACAATTTACATTATTGTAAAGTATGAACATAAATTAGGTAGTAAATTTTCACATAGTTTATTATTAAAGAAAATAAATTATTTGTATACACATATTATTTAAGCTTTTAATTGAATATGGCTGCTCGGAAGTATTATTTAGATATTTAATTGCAAAATATCAGACATTCTGGATCTAAAGTTAAAAATAAATCATCAACTGCTATAATGTTATTTAAATAATAACCTACAATACGTCTGTTATAGATTCATAAGCATAATTAAATATACTCTGGCTGTTATCCAAAGTTCAAGGTTATGCCTTAAATGCGAAAATTTTAGTTTTGAAATATAATACATACACATATCACATGTAGGTAGTTGTCTATTTTTAACTTTACTTTTTTTGTCAATGCAATCTCAAAGTTTTTACTATAAAAAGCGCTGCCAAAGTTCCAAGATTTATGTTATTGTTTAGGTGGTGAAAGTTGAAATATTTTATTTAAAATATTCATGATTCATCATTTACTGGTTTACTTTAAAACTTATTTTTTGACATATACTTCTAATATGATGATTATATTCGCCATTAGATTTATTTTGATACCAAAGTATATCAAATGATTTTCATTTATCATTATTCCTATTTCCTATTATAATAGTTATAACTTATTACTTACATTTAAATACTTAATACCTAATTAAATAACATAAATATAATTGTTAAAATGAATGAATAAACATTGAATCAATCTATTTATTCGATATAATTTAACTTTAATAAACTAACCTACTTACTTATGTGTTATTATTTATTAAAAATTATAAAAGATTATAATATTTTATGCATAACTGAGTATTAAGTTGGTATTATTAGCCGTAAGGATACTAGATAATATATTATATTGGTGTTAACTTTATGTTATAAATCCATTGGAAATATTTTGTACCTACTTGGCTTCCTATATTACTATCACTGATTATAATTTATAAATAGTGTAGGTAATATACCTATAACCTTCAAAGTTACAATGTTTACTATTGGTGTCTATAATCAGTATAACAGTATCTACTAATAAGTAATAACCAATATATTGTGTTGGTTTGAAACGTATGGTCTCAGTGGTCTTAATGGTGCACGTAGTTGGTACGTCATGATAAACTCTGTAGGTTGCTACCTACCTAATATAGTGCCTACTATTAGTAACAAACTAGTAAGTTACTTTTTTCAGGTGAAAGTTGTTGGACGTTCTCTCATATTTTGTATAAATGTATACTATATGAAAATAATATACTAAGTACTTATACTCTATACATAATATTACATTTTTTTTTTTAGATTCTGAGCGGGGCGATAAATGTATTGATTTTACATGTTGTGTGTGTGTGTTTTTTTAAACTAAATTTACTACTCTACCTAATAATAAATATTTTTCTAGGTTCTACTAATTTTTTAGAATATCGAATTTTGATATTGATGTAACGCTAAAACAAATTATCATAACACGTGCAATTTTCACTGAATGTTTATAGTATCATTTTCTATACTTAATAAAATTTTCAAAGTATTTCAAACCTTTTTAAGTTATTTAAAATATTTGAAATTTTCTATYTTTTTAGTTATTTTTTTTATATAAATGTCAGTAAAATTTTATTTTTTTGGTAAAAAGCTTCAAAATTTAAACAAGGCTCTTAATACCTATATTTTTATAACGGCAGTTAAAAAATATTAAAAACACATAGTTAAACAATTTTTTAATAGGCATTTAAAGTTCGAATTTTGACAAAATTCGTAAAAATTACGACGTTTGGAATTTATTTTGAGTTTGAAATTCATAAAAATTTATATTTTTAAATCTTTGATTTGAAAATCCAGTAAGTACAAGATTCTTCATGAGTTTTTCTAGTTTTATCAAATAAAAATTGTCTACTGAAAAGTATGAATAAATTTTTATGAGCCTTTGAATTACAGTAGGTACCTATCGGATACCTATTCACTCAATTTCTCTTATACCAATATTCTTATTTTATTGTTATTCAAAAACGAAGTAGAAAAAAAAATTGTAAAAACTTGAAATTTACACCAAATGTTTTTTTATCAATTCCTATACTTAATAAAATGTTCAAAATATTAGAAATTTTCCGTTTTTTTTAGTTTTTTATTCTATAAATGTCGATAATATTTTATACATTTGATCAAAAAATTTGAAAAGTTAATACAAGGTTCCCCATAAGTTGATATAGTAGCAATTGGAAAATATAAAAATTACATATTATGCAATTTTTTTTTATAACCGTTTAAAGTTAAAATGTTGTTAAAATTTATTTAATTGAAAATTTACAAATTCTTTAGTTGTTAAAAATGTATAAAACGTTTAAATTGTGTAGCTAAGGATTGAAAATTTAAAAMGAAGTTCCACGTAAGTAGTTAATTCTGCTACAAAAAATCTAAACATTTCACAAACACAGTTTTTTTTTAGTTATTTTAAGTTCAAATTTGGATGAAATTATCTATTAAATAACCAATAATATCAATTTTAGCTACATTATTTTAATTTAAAAATATTAACTTTAAACTGTTCCTACATACCTACTATGAATGACTACTGAAGGAGTCGAATGCATAATGAATCTGATTTGATTAATTTTGAATTTATTTTATAGGTACCTACATTTTTTTTAATAATAGCAATTTAATTAATATAGTTTAAAAATATAAAATATCCTAGACTTACAAACCATCTCAGCTCAGAATCGTTTTCGCATACAATGATATTTTATAATTGAATTCAAATTTAATACCATTCATTGCAGTATCCAACTTGTAAACTATACTGTACAGCAGAACATCTACACTTAYCAGCTTTTTTTACTTGAATTAGTAATGTATTAATTGCTTGAATTTATGTTGAAATTATATTTTTCATTAAAACGTCTATCTAACTAATATTTTTAACGTACCAATCATTAAATTTCCAAGAAACCAAACTGTAGTCTTTAAGTAAACAATGTAATATTACATATCCCTACCTAATTTAATATTTATAATAAATATTAATAGGTGTAATATATTGTTTATTTTGAACCAAATTTGATAAAATCAGCAAGAGGATTTCAGTTCACTATTTGTTTTATCTCCTTGACCAATGCGCCTATAGCAAATTTGCGTTCAGTAGAACCAACCTAGTATTGTTAAATTGAATATAAGAATGATACTCTGTTATAAAACTTTGAATAAAAATCATTATCTGTGTTTTCTAGCTTATATATTTAGGTTGATTCTGCTTAATGAAAAATTGTYGTGTTGCTCATGTATCTGCAGAGAAATAGAACACATAACAATATAGTGCTTTGACATCGTTTTAATGTGCTCAAACTTCTTGTACCAAAGTGCACTTTAACCATTGTCTGAATTTATTGATAGCTTATGATTATCATATTAGTTTAGTACAGGTTCAGTATTATATTTATTTACTTATTGATTAATACATTATAGTACCTATAGTACATAAATTAGTAATTAGTCAATCAACAACTGCAGTATAAATAAACATGGTTAAAATTAGTAAACACTCATACCATTTTCAAACTATTCACTTTCAATATTTACCTAATGGTTTATTTGTATTTATGATTAATGAACTAATGAGTTTTTAATTTTTAGTGTTTGCATGAATTACAAATACGACTAAATTGCCAATTACTTATTTAATATTTAATATTATTATGTTAACAAAATACACGTGAAAAATACCAAACTATATGTTTTGATGATATTACAATTAATAGTTTGGTCATCTTTTGTACACAAATAATTTGAGATGATTCATACTATCATAACATGAAATTATAACCAGTTGTATTTACGTCTTTCTGCTATGTACCTATGAACATGTGGATTTATCTCAGATACCTAGTCCATAAAAACTAAAAACCAGTTTTAAAACCGCCACCATAATGATGCACATGTCTATAGTAACTAAAAGTAAGCCGAGTAACCAAGACTCCATTTGAACCTATACACTATGCAGTCGATATAATTGCATCAAGATTTTTCACGGTAACTTTTAAATCTAATGTTTGTGTTTATTTACTAAATTTTTTTCAATTAATAAATTATGTAGAATGTACCATTTAATGTATTTTTGAGTAATATTAAGATAAGGCAATTGACACTTGATATTTGACATGTAAACTGCAATGACATTTTATCTTAAAATTATAACAATATTGACTATTGATTATACATATATAAAACAAAATGAAAATACATTATACACAAATGCTAATGTCTATATTATTGGTGCTAGGTAAATTGAGTCCGAGATAAGTTTGGTACATTTTGAAACTTGAAAGCGGTAAATTGAGTCCCGGGGAAAAATAGGTAGTAGGTAAGTTGAGTCACCGAAAAAATAAGGCAGTAGGTAATTTGAGTCCCAGGGAAAAACGATTTATATGCATTTAAAATTTAAAAATGTGCRCTATAAAATTTTTATTTGTGATTTGTGGACAATTCATTGACTGCATTGTATATGATTATGAAAATAGCAACATGCATTTTTATTACATAAAAAATAATTATATAATTAATAAAAATGCAATACATGCAAGTCAATGAATGTCCACAAATCACAAATAAAAATTTTATAGTGTATATTTTTAAATTTTAAATGCATATATATCGTTTTTCCCTGGGACTCAAATTACCGACTACCTTATTTTTTCTGGGACTCAACTTACCTACTACCTATTTTTCCCCGGGACTCAATTTACCGAGTTAGGGTCATTTGGGACTCAATTTACCAACCCCGATATTATTATATCTTTTCGATGATTGTAATTTACATACATGGGAATTGTTAAACCTATTGGTTAAAGTGTATTGGAGATGACTCACAGTCGGTTACCATAAAAGAATAAACGACACGATATTGTCAATAAAGGACCTTATACAATTAATTCGTGCCATTCAAATAATCGTCGGGATAAATAAGCAAAAGGTAAACTGAAAAGTCCTTACATAAAAATAATAATATGTATTATATATTTATAATACCTATGGCTATGAGTTAAGTGTTATATTCTATCTCTGTTTATCATACTATTGAATGAAATTAAATCAATGTTGAATCGTGATCACATTTCATGTATTAATAATGATGAAGGGGCCTGGGTGCTGTTCCAAAGAAAAATGATCGAGAACGTATAACGTATAATGATGATTCTGTAACTCTTTTGAACTATCCCACGATGTATAAGTTTGTCTTAATTTGATATTACATATTGTAATGTACTTTAACATACAATTATTCATGCGTTCTTTATATAGTGAGTACGCATTATATATTTTAAGTGGAAGTAATTTGGATTATACAAAATACATATTTATAATATGTAATACCAACACAGGTATACATACGTGCCTGTAGAATATTATCTGCATTCTATATTTAATATTATACATTTATGCTCACATTTTTTTACAAGTTACAACTACGAATAAATACAATTGTATGGCCTAATTGGTGTATAGATTCTTAATCTTATACAGTCAAATTAGACATTTAGTTTTAGTAAATAAAATATTTAAATATAACATAATAACAAAATATAAACTCGCTTAATTAGCCAATTAGGTAAATACCTATAAGATATATCTAGCAGATTACCTGAGATTATTTCGAAAATGAAACATGCACTACTGCGCTACCACTTAGAGGACCCTATACGCACATTTGTTGTCTCAGTCTTACAAGTGCGTAACATAGAAAATTGACGTTTAGCAGATCACGTTTAATTCAGCCATTTTAAAAACTAGCGTAAATTGACCTATTATGAAATTTAATGTTAAGGACTTTATCTTTATTTGAATTGTGGTTTTTAACAATAACTTAGTTTTTAAATTAGTTATGAGGATTTTTAATTTACACTTTTTACATACGCAAAACTTGCTTCAAAATTGAATTATCATAAAAATCTCATATACAAACACAGATAATGTTCTTAACATAAACTTTCATAATAGGTCAATTTACTMTAATTTTTAAACTAACGGAGCTAAACTTAATCTGCTGAGTGTAAATTTGGTATGTTATGCACTTGTAAAACGGAGACAGCAAATGGATGTGTAGCATATTGTTAATGACTGCCGGACTACGCATATAGTATGTAGGTACTTCGTATGTCTGTATATAGGGTGCGCTTAATAGTAATTTTACCAATCCTGCGACATAATAAATGCAATTGTAATGCGTGTAGGAGTGTTAGGCAGATGTCTCGAAATCTCAGATTATATGGACATAATTTATGTACATACCTACTTTATATATAGCCTATGCCCTATAGGTACGCATCTTGATGTGATGCTATTAACGTGTTTTTAAACTACTCAAAAATATATCTATACACAAGCGCAGAACGTAAGAGTTTAAGTACAATCATTGTTCTTAAGAAAGTACTCATATTTGTGTATTATTAGGTAGATATATATTTTTACACCTCTATAATAATTTATATGTATTGTATTCGAGCTTATAATATTTTATTTCATTAACATAGGCGCAAATAGACAAATTATTTTGGGGGGACTAAAGCCCCTCCTATAATATTTTCTAAAAATTATATATGCTCAGTACTAATTACTGACTTTTGAACTGGGGGGACTAAGTCCCCCCCAAGCCCCCACCTATTTGCGCCAATGTTCATTAAAATAATCATTAATTTATAGGTACCATATATTTATGTGCCTACTGCCTACAATTGCCTATATAGGTAGTGTTCAATGTTAATTGTTGCCGTATCTGAATATCTGATATAACATGAAAAAACACTTTTTCTTACAGTTAATTTTGAGATTTTTACCATGATAAATTTCTCGAAAAAATTATAATCACGTTATTTTATTAATTATTCATTAATAGTTGGTAGGTAAATCAAAAAATACCTTTATATTTTTTTTTTGTTTTTTACCTTTAATACTTAGGTGAAGTATATTATGTAATAAACTAATAACCATTCTACGTGACGACCACCGAACTTTTGATACTTTTAAAAAAAGGGCTTCAAATTTCAAAACTTTTAAATTTATTATTTAAATCAGTAATCAATCACACGCCGCTGTAATTGGAAACTGAAATTCCATGTAATCGGTTTAGTAGTAGTTTTTATATCAGGTATTAAACTATTAACTAAAAATTATAGAAGTATTAAATACGGTGTCTTGTAATAATTAAGGTACAAAAAAACATCAATTAAAATT